TGGGGGGGGGGGGGGGGGTGTACGCAGCCTGACCCCTAATTTTAGGTACATAATAACTTTTGGATCCTTGAGGCAGGTAGATAAACATAATCATAAAAATTTCAACATTGTCTTAAATCCCTGTATCAGCAAAACACACGAGAGCTATGTGTCTTATCTTACAATAGTGGTGACAAACAACATTTAGACTGGGTTTGTGCAATATTTCTCCTAGGTTGTTTATGACCCTCAAATGTCCTAGACTGCACAAAATCTCTTTTTTGTTTTCTAATGCCGGTAGATGTACATGTACCTGTATATGTACTATCGATACCGGTACCTGTGCCCCTGTGCCCCTGCCCCGGCCCCTGCCCCTGTGCCTGTGCCTGTGTGTGCCTGTGCGTGTGCATGTGCCTGTGTGTGCCTGTGCCTGTGCCTATGTGTATGTCTATGTGTAGGTGTAGACTATGTTGCACGGAAACTCCATATAGGCTGCCGTACCCGTTTCAGACACCTTGGACACGCCGACACGCCACGGACACGCCTGGAGACGTCTCGGAAACTCCACGTGGCGTTTCTGTAATTTTAATTTTTAAAAAAGAGAAAAAAACGCCAAGGAAACGGCTGGGACACGCGTGTCTCTTTTGGGAAACGGCAGGGACACATCTTTTAAAAAAATGGGGTTCTTTTTATAAATTTTAAAAGTTTTGGAACAGACTCAAATTATAAAAAGTATTATCTGGCCCTAAATCTTCATCGCTCCTCTATGTTACGCGGCTGTCATATTCATCGACAATAGACAGCAGCCCTTGAAGAAGGTTTACTCAACTGGTTGGCCAACTACTCGCCGACAAAGGGCCTTAAGGGCGCGACATCAGGTGAAGTATTCTCTCCAAATAAGCTTCTCGCCAACAAAGGGAGAAACTTACGCCGCTGGTCAGTGACTTCTGGATTTTATGTTATGTATTTTGAACTTATTTATGCTTTAATATGTTTTGTAATGACTAAATTATGCTATCTCTTTTGAACTTATACTTTAATATGTTTTGTAATGACTAAATTATGATATGTCTTGTGAACTTATACTTTAATGTGTTTTGTAATGACTAAAATATGTTATGTATTGTGAATTTGTTTAGATAATTTTATTTATTTATATATAATTTTTATATATAAATTTGGCGTTTCCCCGGCGTTTCGTCTCTTCATTTTTTCAAAATAGCCGTTTCGGCGTGTCCGTTTCGTTTCGTCTCCGTCC